CGCCCAACTGCCCCTTTGGCCCCGCTGGATATCCACGCGCTCAAGCAGCGCATGAACTCCGTACCCGCGGCCGTTTTGCACCAAACCTGCCCTGCAGCCCTGCTGCCGCGCACCCCCGCCACCCACGTTTGCGCCCCTGCACGTCTGGGGTAATGGGGAAGCTCACCTCCGCCAGCGCCTCCGCCGCGGGTTCTCCCGCCGCGGCGCGCGCGAGGGGGGGCGATCGTGTAACCAAGAAACCCGCCGGCCATGCCAAGGGACTCAGGGGGCCCAAGGGGCGCCACAAAGCCTTCATGATTCAGGGCGACCAGGCAGTGAAGTACACCCGCCCCGCAGACACTAAGCTCATGGAGCTTAAGAACCAGAAGACCCTCATGGCAGAGGGGGATGAGATGTTTGCGCTTGTTACTGGGCCGCATCAACCAGGGACTACCAAGTTAAAAGGGTCAATGCGTGATGATAACAACGCGCTCTATCGCAGGGCCGTGGTCCGTCTGATTTTCAAGAAGATGCATGCGTTTCGATCCGACGACGAGGTGCTGGCGATGTCTCATCTTCACCAGGTACACTCTTTGTCCGAGTTGCGCCAGTTCTACTCCCCCACGACGGATCAGAATCTTCTGCGCGGATGGGAGTGGAGCGAAGTCGAGGTGATAACGAACCCTAACATGTATGTGAAATGCGATGGTGCCCGTTCCATTCAATACTTCAACGACGGGGACCTGAAACCCGAGACGTTTTTCAAGCCCAAAGGCATCTTGAAGCAAGAGAACCGCATCAAAAACATTTTGTTCCAGTCCGCTGCGCAAGGCCCGAAGGAGGTCATCGCGCCCCTCCCGCCGCCGGTGCCGCTGGACAGGAGTTTCGGGTTAACGCTTGGCTGAATCCTATCGCACCCAGCAAGCATAGCGCCTCCGAGCTACCATCTGCCTATTCACCTATCGTTATGCTCAGGCCCTGTGCTGTGCTGGATGCGCAAGGGTTCGGCTTTGCGCTAGCCCTCAGGCACCTCCTCAGTTCAGTGGGTGGCTCTCCAGCCCCGTGCCCCAGTACGCCCCAGTCCAGGCTCCGCCGGTCGCAGAGCAGCCCTTGCCCGCCAGTTGCTCAGCCCAACAGCGATGCGCATCCCGCGAGCAGCCAGTGCAGTCCAGCCAGGTCCTCTGGGGCCCCTGGAGCCCCAGCGCCTTCAGCAGCGGCGCCCAACAGTGCGACGACTGTGCCGATGGAATCGACGCCCATCGTCGAGGAACCCCTGGTGGCGACCCCGCTGAGCCCGACGTTCGTTCCGGGCCCGAACGCGCTGACCGCCCAGACCGTCGCCCAGCCGCCGTGGACGCCGCCGCCTGCCCACCTGCCGCCTGCTTGGGATGTCAGGCCACATCCCCTCTAAGCTTCGAGGGCTCTAATGCACCCCCTCCCTCTCCGCTTATCCCCCCTGGGGCCCCGGGGCCCTTTCGAAGCGGTTTCTCTGCGTTGTGACGCTTGCTTCGACAGGAAGCTTGCTAGGGCAGCACAAGGTTGAAGGCCAGACGCAGAGATAAAACTCTGGAGGGGCTTCGACGCGATGGGACAGCCGTTTGGTTTCTCTGGCAAATTTCTCTGGGGCCTTCTGGGTGAGAGGGGGGGCGGTCCTTGGCCAGGTCCTGGGACATTTGGATGGCGGGCTCATGGGGTGGGCCCCCGGGGCCCTTGGGGCCAACTCGATCTGATCATTGCGACATCCTTGTAGACACGTGGGCAACCTGGACGACGCGATGTCTTGGGCGTGCGACTACTTGTTCGTCGTGAGAGAGTTGTTCCCCAATGCAGTTTTGAACGACCTCAAGAAAAAGTTCAGTACTTACACGCGCGCGTCCGCCTTCTCGGGCATCGACGCCCCAGGTGTCAGCAACAATGTCTTAGCCCACGCCCTTGGTGACATCATGGGGTGTTACGTTCCCTCCGTCCCGCTGATGTCAGCCGTGGAAAAAGACGTGGACTGTCGAGGCGAATTGCTCAGCGGACCGACCCCACCTGCCCACATGTTCACTGAGATCGAGCATTTTTGGAAGGGCTCCGTTTACAGGGGGATCGTCAAGACGCGCAGGGATGGCACCCCGATGCCCCTGCAGAGTTTCGTTCCCATTGCCAAGAAGAAAACAGGCTCGCGGTGGTCTCCATTGCCCAGAAGAAACAGGGGGGACATAAACCTGACTTGAGGAGGGGCCCGGGAACCCATCGGGCCGAGTTGCCAGGCACTCGTGGGTCTGAGCCAATCAACCCCTGGGGCCCCTGTGGGGCCGTGTTCGTTTACCTGACAAACAAGTTATGTGCCCCCCCCGTGCTGGGCAAGTCGATTTGCCGTCCCACTCCGAAAGGCATCAGCCTTAAGGCGTGGTGCGTCAAGTGCCGCAAGGAGTGCCAGCATCCGAGGGCCACGATCCATCAGGGGTCCCCGTCTTGCGTGAACTGTTCTCCGATGGGCGATCAAAAAGGGAGTGACGGCCACGCTGCTATAAGTAAGGCTGAACACCAAACACGCCCCTGGAGTCCCTGGATAGAGGATATTGTGACATTGTATCTTGGCTGAGTCGAACGATTGGAGGTTTCTCACTTCCAGGCGCTTTCCCAGGATTCCAGGTGCAGTCGCGGCTTTCAGCCTTCTTCGCAGCTCTACAGCAGCGTGGTTCGCGATGAGATTGGCGCTGGAGGAGCTCGGGTTATCATCTTGCTGAGGTGTTCCCCAGGGGCCTTGCGTTCGGCGGCGCAGTCCGTTTTTTTTTCCGCGTGGCCCAAGCAGGGCGTACGGCCACAGGAAAACAAATCTTGCCGCTTCACCTTCGCAGAGGAGCCCGTCGTGTGGATGGAGGAGAGCGATCGATGGCAGTCTTCATGGACGCACGACTTCTTGGGGGAAAAGTACATCATCTTCGATCGCGTGGTGGACTCGTTGGAGCTGGGTTGGCCTGGGAAGAGGACTCGCTACATCGCAGTCTGCTTCCATCGGGGCTACGTGGCCGACGTCACCACCTCCTTGGACCGCGCGGTGCAGCTGTTCACACGCACTTGCAGCGCGAACTGGGAGGACTTCTTCTTCCAACATGAGGAGTGGGCAGCCGACGAGATAGGCGATGAGCTGAAGTGGGAATTCAACTGGGCCATCAACCGTCCGAGGAGCCGTGCTCGCATGCACGGGTACGTGGACCATGCCGACGCCTCCGACGTTTTGCTCCGTGAGGGGAAGGAGCTCGCGTGCGAGGCGGCGCTGACCCAGCCAGAGCACGACTTCATGACTGCCTACCCCCCCGATGTCATCTGCAGCCTCAACCAGGACTTCTCCAAGGGCCGTGGTCACTGGGCCGACCCAGCCAGCCATATGTATTGCATCATCAGGAACCCGACGTTTCACTACAACAAGAAGCTGGGCCGCTGGGCTACTGCGAGCGAAGTACTCACTATGATGGGCTTCCCAGTCTTGAGGCGCCACATCAACCCTCGTGGCACGCCGGGGCGCGCCACGTCCTTCACGAAGGCCATGCCATCGGATGAGGCGACCTGTCCCGCTTGGTACAGGGGGCTTTCCAGGGACGCCAAGGATCGAAACAAAATCATTGCGCAGGCTGGCAATTCCATCAACATCTCCGTGGCCGGCTTCGTTGAGCTTTACATCATGATGTTCTGCACCGTCATCGACCCCTCATCGATGAGGCCTATTGACATTGACTAGGCAGTGGCGATGGCGAGCACGTTACAGTAACTGTTCCACTTCCAGGGCATGGAGTTTCACGGCACGAATAAGAGCGCGCGACCTGCGGGGTTGTGCGTAGAGGCGGCAGCCTCTCGATATAATGTGTAGACGCTAGACGCTCCCAACCACCTACTCCGATTCCTACCTCTTTCTCCTCAGCTTCCCCCCTTCCGCCGCAGCACACACATGCACATGCTCTCCCGGCTCTCCCCCCCTCTCTCTCTCCCTGTCCCCCCCCCCTCTCTCGATGTCTCCCCGGGCTGCCTGGGCATCTCTCCAGTGGCGCGCTACCCGCCAGCCTTTCAACCAGGGGCCCAGGGGCGCTGGCTCTTCGTCTCCAGGATGGGGCGCCAGGGGCTGGGCCACCCAGACAATAGCTGATCACCTCACCCCCTCCTATGCGAAGCCCGAGGGTTGGAAATCCAGAGGGGGTCCCGGGGTCTGGCGGCGTCGGGGAGTCAGGAGGTCCCAGGGGGCCTCAGGGATATTATGATAATTATGAACACTATTCGCTGGCAGTAGTCACCTGTGCGCGCGTGCCTGTGCAGTGGGCAACCATTGCCTTGTGCTCTCGGTGGGCGGGTGGCTGCCACTATCTTTAAGTGTGATATGTATTTTGACCTGTCCGGTGTCAGCGCGCCATGCCCTCTTGCGACGCAACGTCGGGACAGAGATTGTATTCCAGGAAAGAACGAAGCAACGCAGGAGCCAGCTGGTGAGTAGCCAGAGTAGCCAGCCGTGTCGAGAGACCCTCGTCCTCCTCCACCTCCTTGCAGCACCCTTGTCCGCCACGAGCTGGCACGCCGAAGGAAGCGACGCCGAAGATATGCACCGCGCAAACCAATATGACATATCGACATATTTGTCTGCGAGAGCTAGACACTCTGACTTTAAGAGGCCTGTGCTACCTGGATGGGGTTGGGGTTTCTCGATCTCGCCCTGGTTAGGGGCCCCTCGTCGCCGCGGCTGGACTCGGCCGTAAGTCGCTGGACTACTGCCCCTTCGAGACGGCCACACAGGCCCTCAAGAAAAACATCGAAGTTGTTATTCCTCTTCCCCTCTTCCCCCTCCTACTCTTGCCACTCCTCCTCCTGCTCCTCCTCCTCCTCCTCCTGCTCCTCCTCCTTCTCCTCCTTGCGATTTTCGCGATTCATTTGATGCCCAGGCCTTTGTTGCTTCGTGGCAGAAATTCTCTGCTGCCGCAGCTGCAGACTTCCGATCCACCTATCCAGTGGGCCTGTCCACCCACCGCCTCACTGCCGCCCGAACAACGATGTTCGACATGTCCAGGGTCGGCAAGGAGAACGTGACCGCCAATGTTGACAGCCAGGATTCCCCAGCGTCGAAAGTGTCTTCATCATCGGCGGGCTCGCTCGACCCACAGAAGGCCTTAGATCAATACTTGTACGACTACAAACCAGGGATGACTGTGTTCCACCGATTCACGCAGATCAAGCCACCAGGTGGCATTGAAATGGTCAAGCAGTTGAAGGACTCCTACGGCGTTCCTGGCAAGCAAGGCATATCGTGTCCCTGGTTCGACCCGGCCCCGGGCATCCAACCAAATTGCTGTCCTTCCTTTCCAGTGGCCCCAATAGTGTTCGCCAGGGGCGGCTCGGGGCCTGTCGCCCCCTCTTTTGCTGGCTCGGCGCTGTAGTCTCGGAGGCGACCTTACGAGGCGACCTAGCAGCGAGACGTGCCGCGCCGAGCCCGCAAACGGGTAGGCGGCTCGCCCCCCTTTTTTCTTCTTTAAGCCTGTGGGCATTCCGCCCTCCCACGTATTGCTCCGAAGGGTCGGTGGAACAATCGTCCCTGTTGCGACCCTCTAGGCCACCAAGTGCGCCAACTTCGTCCCTCATGAGGAAAACATCCGTGAACAGGAGGCCGTTGTAGAGAGCTATATGGAGAGGATCCTCGACAATGGCGTCGTCTCCGACTGCCGCGGCAGGTGCTTTGCGGTGCAGAGCCCCACTCCAACAGGCCTGCCCTACAAGCTGATTGCTTGGGGTACGATGGGCAGAGCTGCTTGCAGGTGCTTCAGCGAGCACGCCGACAACGAGAACGTGAAATTCAGTAAGTCTCTTGGCGTAGAGGACGTGTTCATATTCAGCCACCGCATGCCGCCAGACGCGTACATCTTCTTGCGCGACTATCACAATCAATTTCATGGGGGCAGTGCCTGTACACATGTGCAGTTACTTCGGGACACTGGGACTCTCGCTCAAAATCACCCCTGGGGGGTCTGAGGGTTTTGCCTCCCTCCTCCTCCTCCGCCTCCGCCTCCCCCTCCCCCAGTGCTCCCTCCTCCTCCTCCTCCTCCTCCCTCTTCCTCCGCTCCGCAACTCCTGCTCCCATTCCAACGCCCTCTCTCGAAGTGCAAGTCCCCCTCGCTCCGCCTCGCTCCTCCGTCTTCCCTCCTCCCTCCCCTTCCCCTCCTCGTTTGTACTGCACTGCCTCCTCTGCCTCGTCTCCTCCATGTTTCTCTTTTTTGTTTGCCCCTTGCCCTCGCTTGCAGAGGAGACGTTTGAGATCATGACGCTGATCCCAGCGAAAATCGAGGCAGAGGGTTGGCATGGGAATCCTCAGCAGCCCAAGCTCATTTGGGAATGGGTTCAAGACACATATCCTGGCAGATACCCGTCTGAGCACGCCTTCATCAACGCGAGGGCCCTCATCAACAAGATCCGGCGCTACGAGGTGTACGATGACTGGATGAAGTTCTGCGGCAACTTTGTGGACTTTGCTTCTAAAACGTATGATAGCACATCGGTAATTACCAACGCCCATGCCCTTTCGGTAGCATTGGAGAAGGTCTACAAGACTTTGGACTTGGCCGATTTGCAAACCGTGTGGTTCGAGGCGACGATGCGCATGATGCCAATTCGAGCTTCCAAGGCCCACTTGCTTGACTCGCGCAAGCTTCCGAAGTTCATCCTGGACAAGCCGCAGCCGTCTACGGTCAGGTGGATTATCCAGGACATGGGCGAGTCGGCGGTGGTCCAGAGAGCGTCCGACGAGAAGGAAAATCCTAAAAAGAAAAAGAAAATTGCGCCCAAGGGCAAGGGCCCCAGAGGCGCGGCAGCGCCGCCTGTTGCTGCGGAGGAGGACCCCTCGGCCGAAGTGCACGCGGAGGAGGAGGAGGGCGTGGACGGCATGGTTATGAAGGTCAGCCGCAAGGTGGTCTGGGTCGAGGACCACTTCAACGCCATCAACGCCGCTTGCCACGGCCTCACCTTCGAGGTGCCGCCCGAGGAGAAGAAGCGCGTGAAGTGCATCATGACGGGGGCCGCCATTGACTTCTTATGGAAGGACCTGCTGTGGGCAGGGCCTTTTGTGCTCTAGGCTGCAAAGCATGACTCTGATTGTTTTGTCATTCGTTTTTGACTGGCTTTAGCCGTTCCCGGTTACGGTTCGATCTCCGACTCTCCGAGACTCCGAGTCAGAGTCAGCGCAGCTTGGCACGCAATATGACCCAAAGTTGACCATCGGTGCATGCCGCGCTGGAGGGGGGCTGCATTTTCCTTGCAGCGTCGAAGCAGTGGGGTTCCAGGGGGCTCGCAGATTTTAACTGATCCCCCCAGTGTGCGTGCAAGCGGCTTGCGCCGATGCTCAACTGCCTCGCAGCTGCGCCCATCAGAGGGCGGTTGGCCTGTCGTCGACAACAAGCCTATCAAGGACTGGTCCGTCCTTCGGGAGTCGGTGCAGGATCGGATCCTGAAGAGCCACAGCCAGCCATTCGACACGTTCAACCCTGAGACCATCGCACAGACCATGCCTGTTGAGCCCGACGCCGCGGGCGGCGCTGGCGCCAAGGAATCGGATGCTGCCGCTAGGCTTCTTGATGCAGCAGCCGACTTCGAGACTGCCCTGGATCTCGATAACATGCTCCGCGACGCCAGTGCGGTCGACATGTTAAAGCAGTTCGCCACCGCCAACAAAACGTTCTTCATGTCGCCACTCTACAAGGGGGTGAGAAAGACGATTGACCAGAAGACTGACGATTTCTTATCGCCGAAGTCGGCTTCATCCCACGGCTTTCCTGTTGATTTCGTCGCAGCCTCCCTGTGCGAGGCAATCGCGGCGACGGTCCCCGATCAAGTGCAGAACATGTACCGCGCTATCCAAGGGCAGCTCCAGGCCGTGCCGAAGGAAGCCTTGGCGACCGAGAAGGTCAAGATATTCGAGAAGATCAAGGCTGTCTCCAATCTCTCGGAGTTGTTCAGCACAGTCGATGATCTCAGCTACTTTTTGAATCTGAAGCTTATGGTGCTGGAGAGGATGCTGAAGTACATTGGCACGAAGATTGAGGACTCCCCGTGGGCCGAGGCTGATAAGTTCACGGTCTACTGGGCTGCGGCCTCCATCACGATCAACAAGAACCCCGACCTGGTCTATGCAACTGAGGTGATGCCGGCAGGGAGCTGGGTGCAGGCGTGGACGGATGTGCTCGATCTTCTCGGCCAGGCGGAGACCAAGCTGGAGGGCGACAAGAGCATCAAGGAGGTCACCGACGCCATGGTTGCGCAGGTGGACGCCATCCAGACGCATGTCAAGACCAAGTTCAGTGCCAGCGACTCGGTCATCCCTCAGCTGCAGACGCGGCCAGTGAATCAGATCCTGAAGTTGGCGGATGTCCTTACTTTTCAGTGCGCGCCAGAGATGAGCCAAGCTATGCAAGTGCACATTCGTGAGCAGCAGTTCCCCCGGGACTTGCCGAAGCTCACGATCACTGGGGCGACGAGCGTGTCTTTTCCATTCCTTCGTAGTCTTTTCTTGCTCCTTGAGCGCGACGTGTACAGTCGGGCGCTCGCCTCCAAGGAGACTGCGAGTGCCTTCGGTTTCGATGTCTTGGCGCAGTCTGATAATAAGCGCTGCCAGCCAGTCGCTGTGGGGCTGGACAAAGCCAGGCATGCGCTGTCGTTCGCCGGGCCTGTTTCAATCACTTCCTCAGCTCTTTGTCGGCCTCTGTGCCTACTCTGCTTAGGCAGCGAATCTGGGCCGCAGATTCCAATTTATATGCATGGAGATAAGCTGAAGGATTTGAGTCTTGGTGCCGAGTGCTGCGTGATGGCTTGGATGATCCCAGAATCCAAGAAGGGCGAAACAGCAAATCTGGAGCTAATCGAGAAGCCAGTGCACATGAAGATCCCTGAGGATGTGCGCAAAGACATGCTTGCTTCATTTAACATGTGCTCCGAAGGTGAAACTCGAGTTGGGATGCCCGACTCGATCTCTTTCCTTTCTTACAGCTTGTGCCCTGTTGCGGATCTTCCGTCGCCGAGCGACGAATTTGTTTCTTTGAGCTACCATGTCCCTGGAAAGAGTAGGGTCAAGGCCAAGGCTAAGGCTAAGGCTACAGCCGCTGATAAAAGTATGAGTATCCTGGAGTTGGCTGGCGGAGAGGCCCTTTTGAAGAAAGCCAAGATCCAGGCTGGCGCAACCCCAGCTGCTGCTGCCAACACTCGTGGCCAAGGCACCCGCAAAAACCGTGGCGGCGCAGAGCTCGATTGCTCGCATTTGCTGCGCTGAGTCGCAGCGGCTTGATTCAAGCGTCGCCCTCTCCTCCTCCACCTACTGCTCCTGCTCCTCTTCCACTTATGTCAATGATGATGATGACGATGATGATGATGATGATGATGCCTCCTTTAATCCTCCGCTTCTCCGCCTCGCCGTGCTTGCTTCCAATTTTGTTCTGTTTGGACTTGCTTCCGTTGTGGTCCGAGAAGGGCCCGTTTGGTACGGGTTGCAACCACGGAGCTTGCCCTGACACGCACAAACACACAAACACACATAAACACATACACGAGCAGTTTGGTTGCTGCTGCCCTGCCGCATTGCTTCTCGTGGCAGAATACCCGCGGACCAGTGGTCGAATTCAGAACGCCAGATGCAGTGGGATCGACAGCTGTTACACGCTCCTGAACGGAATAGCTGTCTGCATGTGGGTTGCACCTGGCTTGGGGCCGTGATCACAATGGTTTCGCCTTCGCTTTCAATTGCCGCGGATAAGAGTGCTTTCACGACGAAAAAGGCAATGATTCAAGCAGATGCTCATACTTTCGTCACTGCTGTCATCGTCCCGGGCTTCCCTACCTTGGTTGTTCTCTCTCTCTCTCTCTCGCTATTTCTCATACACCGTAGACCATAGACCAAGCATGCAAACGAACACGACAAGCAGACAGTCTACCAATGTTTTTGGAATAGACACAATACGATAGGCCACGCACACTCACGCACACACGCGCTACATACATGCATGCATGCATACATACGTACATACATGCATATATACATGCGTACACATATGCATACATACATACGTACATACACACGTACATACATACATACACACATACAAACATGCATGCATACATGCACAACATATGCTGTACACTTATATAGATAATCGGGTCCCATGGGTTATGCGGCCCGACTGTCCCCCCGCTCCCGCTGTGGCAGCAGGCAGTGGAACAGGGACACTCCTGTCTCCTACGTGCAGCTATGCGCCTTCCACACCGCTCCGCATCCGTCCAACATACATGCATGCATGCACACATACATACATACAAATAGACACACATACAAACACGCACATACATATATGTACTTACACACATGCATGCACGCATGTATACACATGCATAGACACACATACACACATACACACATGCGCACACACACATACACACATACATCCATCCATCCATCCATCCATCCATCCATCCATCCATCCATCCATCCATACATGCATGCATGCATGCATGCATGCATGCATGCATGCATGCATACATACATACATACATACATGCATACACTCGTACATTCTATATACGAATATTCAGATACAACGTATAATTCATATGCCACACGCGGGGTACATGTGCTGTTTGTGGGGCCGCTGCGCGACCATCTAGGCGCGTCTCCCTACTGGGCCTCGGAGGCCACACGCGGCCCCCCTCTTCCTTTTCCTCCGCCTCCTCCCTTTTTCTGAGCTAATGAATGGACCCCCAGAGGGGCCAGAAAGAGGGCTAAGAAGGGGTAGAGCCCCCCCCCTCTTATGGGCCATCTTGGCTCTTGACACAGTTCAGGACGTACCCAGGTTTATGAAGATTTGGAGCCGACGCCATCTACGCTTGGCGGGCTGGTTGGATTGACCACACATGTTCTCGACCAGGGCACGCCGCATCCAAACGTATCGCCGGCATCGCTTCACTCGCAGCACACCAGCATCCAAGCAAGGAGGGCGCAATGGACCTGGGTCAACTGCTTCGTTTGCTGGAGATCCTTTGGGACGTGCGCAGGGGTGGAATATAATGAGAGGATATTTGCTCAAAGTGGGGATGGGTTCCCTCGGAAGAGTTGCGTGGGGCAGCGACCAAACTCCATGCGCAAGCAAAATTATGCAGCGGACGTAATGAAACCACGTTCGCCGCTATCTGCCGGGCGCCAGAACCAGGGCACACTTTGCCATGTTTGTTTGGGGTTCCGCTGCGAGCATCTTGTGTGACAGCGGCCATGGCGTCGGTTCTATCGATCCGCCTCGACTTCGATGGTGCAGTATCTGGCTCGTCTGGCCGATCCGACTTTCCCGATCAGGCTCGCAGGGAAACAATTCGATTGTTTCGATTCCAGCAGCTCGAATCTGCAATATTCCGATCCGACGTCCTGTGGAGGAGAAGTCTCCCTCCCTCCCTTCGTATTTTCGGTCGTCCGCCACTCGTCGTCTGTCGTCCGTCATCGTCGTTGTCGTCGTCGTCGTCGTCTTCGTCGTCGTCTTCGTCGTCGTCGTTGCCGATGTCGCCGTCGCCGCTGGCGCCGCCGCCGCCGGTGGTCGTCGTCGTGGTTGTCGTCCGACCCGGCCGTGGTGGCAGCGCGACGGCGGCGCCTTTGCCAGTGGCGAAGTGTTTTGCCGCCGGCGCCCCCCGCCGCCGACACCGCTGTAGCAGCCGCCGCCAGGGCGTCCCGGGCGGCCCCCCGGCTGCGTCCCGGGCGGGCTCCAGGAGCCTGACGGGCAACCCCTCCCCTGGGAACGTGCCGGGTGGTCCCCGTGGCAGTCCCCCGGGGGCGTCCCGTAATTTCCGGGGGCCGTACTGGGCAGCCCGCTGGTGTGCCTCCCGGGCTGCCTCTGGGGGCGTCGCAGGCACCCTCCGGGAACGTCCTTAGCGGCCCCCAGACGCGTCCTGTGCGGCCCCTGGGGGCGTCCCAGTCGGGGGGTTGGGGTGGCGCCCTGCACGTTGGGGACGCTTCGGTCCCGATTCGATTCCGATCCGGCTGCCCGTTTTTGATTTCCGAGCCGATGCGGCGATCGCCGATTTGGGTCCCGATTCGACTCCGAAGTACTCGGTGCAATTCCGATTGGATCTGGCCCCCCGATTCGATATTTGTCTTGTGTCCGTCATCGCGGTCTCCTGCTCCTCTTCCTCAGCTCTGCCTCCGCCTTCCTCTGTTCCCTCCCCCCTCCCCCTTAAATTATCCCGGCCAAGCAACCTAACAGCGATGTGTAGGAGCATATCTGGAAGCATTCCCCTTAAGATTCAGATGATAATCCAGTTGTAGAATTCTAGACGCTTCGCGTATCCCCACCAGCCCGTCCAGAAACGACGCCCAGGCGAGTAGAGGGTCGTCCTGAGGGGCTTTTCGGCGTCTTGGGTGCCTCGGGGGGGCCTCTGTGGGCCGTTCGGGATCCTCTTTGGGGCCTCCTGGGGGCCTCTTGGGGCCTCTTGGGGCCATCTTGGGGCCTTTGGGGGCCTCCTGGGCGCTTCTTGGGGCCTCCTGGGCGCTTCTTGGGTGCCTCTGGGGGGTCTCTTGGGGCCTCTTGGGGGTCTCTTGGGGGCCTCCTGGGGGCCTCTTGGGGGGCCTCGGAGCCATCTTGGAGGAGATCGATCAACGAAGGGGGGGTCCCCCCCTCAGGAGCCACGATCCTCGTGAGGGGGGGCCCTCCCAGGGGTCGTTCTTGGACGCTCTAACTACCCGCGGCCCCCCCTGTCCAGGTCAGTGGGGAGGGGGTAGGGGGAGGGGTAAACCCCTCCCCGAAGGGGAAGAAGGAGGGGTGGAAGAGGAAACGCTCTAAACCACCGACGCCCAGAGGGCTGGTGGGATTCTGCAGTTCTCGCAGTCGTAGTCGCATTCGCGATGACAGTCGCAGTGGCAACGGCAGTCGCAGTCACAGCCTCAGCCTCAGCCTGCCTCAGCATCAACCTCAGCCTGCCTCAGCCTCAGCCTGCCTCAGCCTCAGCCTCAAGCCTCAGCCTCAGCCTCAGCCTCAAGCCTTCAGCCTCAGCCTCAGCCTCAGCCTCAGCCTCAGCCTCAGCCTCAGCCTCAGCCTCAGCCTCAGCCTCAGCCTCAGCCTGCCTCAGCCTCAGCCTCAGCCTGCCTCAGCCTCAGCCTCAGCCTGCTTCAGCCTCAGCCTCAGTCTGCCTTCAGCCTCGGCCTCAGCCTCAGCCTGCCTCAGCCTCAGCCTGCATCAGCCTCAGCCTCAGCCTCAGCCTGCCTCAGCATCAGCCTGCCTCAGCCTCAGCCTCAGCCTGCCTCAGCCTCAGCCTCAGCCTGCTTCAGCCTCAGCCTCAGTCTGCCTTCAGCCTCGGCCTCAGCCTCAGCCTGCCTCAGCCTCAGCCTGCATCAGCCTCAGCCTCAGCCTCAGCCTGCCTCAGCATCAGCCTGCCTCAGCCTCAGCCTCAGCCTGCCTCAGCCTCAGCCTCAGCCTGCTTCAGCCTCAGCCTCAGTCTGCCTTCAGCCTCGGCCTCAGCCTCAGCCTGCCTCAGCCTCAGCCTGCATCAGCCTCAGCCTCAGCCTCAGCCTGCCTCAGCATCAGCCTGCCTCAGCCTCAGCCTCAGCCTGCCTCAGCCTCAGCCTCAGCCTGCTTCAGCCTCAGCCTCAGTCTGCCTTCAGCCTCGGCCTCAGCCTCAGCCTGCCTCAGCCTCAGCCTGCATCAGCCTCAGCCTCAGCCTCAGCCTGCCTCAGCATCAGCCTGCCTCAGCCTCAGCCTCAGCCTGCCTCAGCCTCAGCCTCAGCCTCAGCCTGCTTCAGCCTCAGCCTCAGTCTGCCTTCAGCCTCGGCCTCAGCCTCAGCCTGCCTCAGCCTCAGCCTGCCTGCCTCAGCCTCAGCCTCAGCCTCAGCCTCAGCCTGCCTCAGCCTCAGCCTGCCTCAGCCTCAGCCTGCCTCAGCCTCAGCCTCAGCCTCAGCCTCAGCCTCAGCCTGCTTCAGCCTCAGCCTCAGTCTGCCTTCAGCCTCCTCAGCCTCAGCCTCAGCCTGCCTCAGCCTCAGCCTGCATCAGCCTCAGCCTCAGCCTCAGCCTCAGCCTCAGCCTCACCTCCTCAGCCTGCCTCAGCCAGTCAGCCTCAGCCTCTCAGCCTCAGCCTCAGCCTGCCTCAGCAGGCACTCAGCCTCAGCCTGCCTCAGCCTCAGCCTGCATCAGCCTCAGCCTCAGCCTGCCTCAGCATCAGCCTCAGCCTCAGCGCCTCAGCCTGCCTCAGCCTGCCTCAGCCTCAGCCTCAGCCTCAGCCTCAGCCTCAGCCTCAGCCTCAGCCTGC